CAATTATCGAAGGCCTGAAGACTAGATCATCTGTGGCTTAAATTTGAGCTTTGGATCACCATTAATAAAGTAGTGTAAGACCTTCAATGAAGCTCTCTCTCACCTTAACTTGAAGGCAGCTATTTAAAGAAAGAAAAGAAGAGGAAATTTGCTTTGGGCGTGAGAGAGAAAGAGAGAGACAAGGGCGTGTCACACATTTAGAGAGAGAGTGTTGGTGAACTCATGTGTGAAATGAAGGCCCAAGGGGGGCTTCTAACCCTTCAGTGAGGAGATACTTCTAGATTGATGACTCTCGGCCCTCCATGTCATCTTTCAATGGCTATAAAGATAGGCTTGATCCTAGACCACCATCCACCATCATGCCATCAAGATGTGTGTTATGGATTTAAAATACCTTTATCCTCCAATTTTCCTTGTTATTAAATACTCATACTCTTTATATTTAATAAAACTAAAACCAAGATGGAGGGTATACTCTTATGGTAATTTGACAAAATTCCAACAAAAATCAAAGCTCAAAAGTTCCCTCTATTTTATAAGAGCATATGGGACTAATGAAATCATGCCACATAAGCTAGGTGGTTAATTGCATATTTACCATATACCCTTAGGGTTAAGCTTGTAATTACAAACCCTATACCCCTTATAGAATCCTCCACACATGTGCACAAACCCATTGCTTTAAGCATTAAACATGTGCTAAAAAGATTTTTTCAAAATCTCAATATTTCACAAAACACCATAAAACAATGCCCTTAACTTAAAACAACAAACAACAATATGACATGGGGGTCCCATGAGGGGGTTTGATGTCACCCCCATGTCATCCTCCACATGGAGTGGCATAGGACCCCCCAAGCCACCACCTGGGCACGCATTGGCGATTTGGTGTACCATGTGGGTCCCAAGGTACTGTCCTTGTTTGTCATTTCTTTCAAACAATTCTAACCCAAAAAATCCAAAAAAATTCTCAAAAATCCACAAAAATCATTTTAATGATTTTCTACCAAAACAAATCATTTTAGCATTGTTTAAAAACATTTACAAGGGAAATTGGGATCCTTGGAGTTGAATTATGAATCTGAGCACTCCACTCGGCTAGATCCGGAATCCAAAGCCACCTTCTATGTATGACCCATAGTGTATAATCGGGGGCTCATGATCTCAGCCTATCAAAGTCAATATAATGGGTATAAGTGGATTTCAAATGCACCCCCTAGAGGACATGCACTCACATGGTGCAGGGATCCTCTTTTAGCACATGTGCATACCTCTATCCAGGGGATCCCTGGAAGAGCGGCTTCCCATTCATTGCAACTATATATACACACGCTACAAGAAGGTTCTAAGAATCAAGGATTTAAGCTAATGTCCTTTATTGGCCCTAACCTTCTCGTACAGGGCTATTTTGTCATCAAGCTCATATAAATACACAAATCACATCGCCCTGGCCCATCACTCAGTCATGAGGCACAAACATAAAAACCGATCCTAAAGAGACAACCCTCAACCCTCTCGATACCTCCCATGCATATAAATCCTCCTCATGACTTAAGCGGGGTTCCATGACTCTTGGTCTCAATGCGACAAGATCCTAGAGTCATGTCGTTCTTTTACTCCCAATGAAGTTCTTTTACTCCCAATGAAGTTAAGAGCCATTAAAATGTCGAAATTTAAGGCATTGAAAGGACATAATTCCAACACATATACAGATGTGAGAACCCATATTAAACCATTTGTTAAATAATTTGATAGATAAAGAGATTTTTTTTTGGCTAATTCAGTGGGAAAGACAGGTCCCTACCCGTTGTTTTAATAAATTAGGGAGTTACATTTTGAAGGTGTTAATTGGGGGTGTCAACGGTAGGAATGGATACCACGATGTGGTAACTAGGTGTGGAGATGCTACCACCATGACCCCAGCCCTTTTCCTAGATAAAGAGAATTTACTGTGAATAACATCCACCTTAATTAAAACTCGTGAATTCCATAACGTCAAGATACCACCACCAGCCCTCAGAGGGGACCAAATCCCATTTCACATCTAGTGAACCCTAGAATGCCCTCACCAACAAGAGAACCCATATTAGACCATTTGTCAAACAATTTGATAGATAAAGAGAATTTACCATGAATAACATCCACCTTAGTTAAAACTTGTGAATTCCATAACATCAAGGTACCACCAGCAGCCCCCAGTGGGGACCAAATCCCTTTCACTTCTAATGAACCCCCAAATGGACCAAATCACATTTCACTTCTAATGAACCCCCAAATGGCCTCACCAACACCCTATCCACAGCCTCCAACTTTGATTCTTAGCCACCTCAAACTAATGCCTTTGAATGAATGTCATCACATTCCTTTTTTTCTCCGGGTCCCCCAAGCCCCACATGTTCCAAGATAATACCTCCCTGTGAAACATCCTTTCTTTGTGCTCCTTCCTACTCGCATACCTCTCCCTTCCAAACTCTTTGTCCCAGTAGATCTAAATCATAATTTATATTAGAGACAAGACTCTTCAGTTCTCTAGTTCCTCGACCTTTTCCCTTTCCACCCTTGCTTCCACTTTTCTCTTTAGTGTCATAAAATTACAATACTCTTTGTATCGCCTTCATAAGAAAGAACAATGGGCTGAGCAAAATCTCCTTTCTTTCTTAAGGTTTGGCATTTCTTCATGTCACTTCTCCTCCTCTAATACCCAATCTCCTAACAAATCAAAAGAAGATGATGACTCCCTTGAGTCATGTACATACTGGCCATACCACTCATCAACTGAATTACTAGCAATAAATATGTGGAGGCGAACAAAGGCAACTCATGACCGAGGGGGCCCAAAATTTTTTGTTTTTTTTTTAGGTGTTGGGGCGTATGGGTTGTTTACTATAGGGAAATAATGTATACTCCCCCCCCCCCAAAAAAAAACTCCCAACCCCATCCAAACAAAAAACAAAAAAAACTAAGGATCGCCCCCAAAAAATAAAAATAGGGATCGTAGACCGCACCCCCCCTGGATCTATGCGAAGCCCATAGAACCCCCAAAGTGTATAAAAAGGGCCGAAGAACCTATTTTGCCTTTTTCTTTTCGAAAGTGCCATTACTTTTTCACTTATTCCCCAGGGTCCAAAAACTTTCCCTTCTCCTTTTAATCAACTCTCACTTCCATGGAAGGTGAGAAGGAGATTATCTATTATATACTTTTACAAATAATGGAAAAATAATAGTGTAGAGAGAAAAACAGAGAGGTTCATGGGTTAGAGAGAGAAAGGGGAAGGGTCGAAAAAGAAGGGGGGGGGGGGGAAGGGTAATGAGGTAGAGAGAAAGGGAGAAGGGCAACAAGGTAGAGAGCGGAAGGTTATGGGTAGAGAGAGAAAGGGGGAGGGTGATAGGTAGAGAGAGAAAGGGGGAAGGTTCGCAGGAGCGAGAGTTGATGGGGCTAAAAGGAGAAGGGAAAGTGATTTGGATCATGGGAAATAGGTGAGAAAGAAAAGGACATTTTTGAAAAAGAAAAAGGCAAAATAAGGATTAAGGGGTTCCTTTTTTATAAACTTTTTCCTATGGTGGGGTGTGGGGCGGGGGAGGGGTCCATGGGATCTCCATGGACCCGGGGGTGTATACGGGATTGTTAATTTAAATGGGGGGCATGCATCTTTTTCCCATATATACACAGGAACAACAATAAGAGGCTAAAGCGTCTGCCTTAGCCAAGGTGCTAGGCACCCGCCTAGGCCACACGGTGGCTGCCTAGGCAGGGAGCCTAAAGACCCTGCCCCATACCCACCTTGCCCTAGGCAATGCATCTAGGGCCCTCACTCGCCTAGGCACCCAAGAGGACATTTTTTAACACTATGAAATACCATTCGGTACCTCCTACCAAGGGATCAAACCAGTGTTACATGGATACAACAGAAGTATCAAAAAGTGTCTAAATTGTTTGTGTCCAAAAAAGCCAATGCATCCCAACAAACAGTATTTCATATTAAAAGATCATTGTTCATGTAATTACACTTTGATGATTTATGCATAATATTGTGATTTTCATAATAGCAGAGCGCATATTATATGATAAGACACTTGCAGGTATAGTCACTAAGCGCTTGACTTCACTGGTGGTAGACTTAACTATACCGCTCCAAGAAGTCATGAGTTCCATCCCTGGACTTCAACCAAATAAATTTTTATGCAAAGGATGCCTTGAGGCATCAACTCTTGTCGAAGTGTCAATGCATGTCGACAAGAGACACCAGAAGGGGAATGACATGTTGAGGTAACAGTGGATAAAATGCAACAGTTTAACCCCAGCATCATTATCCTCTTCCTCACTGCGCTCTATGTATCATACTGGACTCTGAAGACTCAGTAAGCCTCACTGATTGGGCATCGTGAACAGTATGGCATCTCCTTGTAGACCTCCAACTCCCTTCCAAAAGTTCCCCATAAGCTCCCCAGACCATCATTTATGCTCTTGTCTGCTTTACCATAATTTCTCTCAATAAAGAACCCCCTTCTCTTCATAAATTTCATCCTTGCCCCTCTTACTAGGTGGGCTCCCAATAGCATTGGAAGCAGCCCCATCATCGTCCCCACTTACCCTCGAGTCCCACCCCTCTACGTTTTTCCCAATAAACCATTCCCTCCACCCTTCATAAATTCCATCCTCACCCTCACAGCAGATGGCTTCCCAGCATTATTGGAAAGATGTTCATCATTTTCCCTCCTCCACATCCCTCCCTATGATAACTCCAGCAACAGATTAGACCAATCCGAAGCAGGACATAAATAATCATATTGAGAAACTTGTTCACAATAATTCCCTACTACAATGATCCCAAATGTTTTTTGAGAATGAATGAGTATCCCCAACAACTGCCATAGCGAGAACTTTATAAAGATAATTTCGGCTATCACAACCATAATTATCACCCAAAAAGTTAATTTAGAAAGAGATAGTGGTGACAGATGTACGTGATCATTCATATCCTCTACACATAATTACTTGCCTGTCCGGCGTCGCATATCCAAGGCAAGCATACAGCATGACATCTGCCATAGCCCCCAAAACCCACTCAACTATTTGACACACCATCCTTTTGGAAACAGAAACTGCATTGCCACATGTACCTCATAGTGCTTCTCCCCCATTGGTTCCTTTGAATTTTCAAGTTTCCCTGCCATTGGAAAATTTTTGAGCATATTCTCAGTAGTCCTCTCCCTCTTTGTAAAAAGAAAATGGAAATCGTCATGCTAACATCACATGATTGTATAGAATCTAAAACAACTGCAGAATCTGACTTCTCATTTTTTGTGAACGCCTACGTTCACATCCAAAGTTAAAGACACCCAGATCAACGCATGATATATTGATAAGTAATCCCCATAGTGACAAGTTCCCACATCCCAGATACACAGCTCCTTACACTACAGAGAGAGATGCACAATTATGTAGAATCATGAGGACATCAAATATAAAAGGCTTGAAAATATTATGCCATTTAGGTTGATAGAAGTTAAGATATATAATCATATCAAGCAATGTAGCTGTTCATGGCCAAAACAGTAACCATGCAAATGATAATATTAAGACAAAAGAGTGACTCCAGAAGTGCTCAAGTAGAGAAAGCTACCTTCCAGAGACTGACGTTTTTTTGCAGCCTTTGAGAATATAAGAATGTCCTGTGGATTTGCTACCTACAAGAATGGATAGAAAGAAGATAACTGTCCATAATGGCACTCTTGAAAGAAAACACTGAATAGGCATCCAAAATACAAATTGCAGATAGAATAATGGTACCTTTCCCACAAACTTTTGACCAAATCTTTGAGGGTTTATTGTCATGAACCCAGTATAATCTACCTACCGAAACCATACAGAACAGTTATTTCCATAATATGTACCACACCATACTATATATGTGAAACATATTCAATATCTTGGATGTCATACAACACAGGTAAACACATACAGTGTCTTGTAATCCTAGAACATGGTAATCATATTAACAACCTGGGAAACTGTACACATGAATGTGGAAGGTTAATTTAGGTATGGTAGCTAAAAATGAAGACTGCAAGACTTAAAAAGTTCACCCTAAGCCACAGTGTGATTCTTCAGCCTAACGAATAAAAAGTTACCTGCAATTTAATAAAGACAAGACCAAATGAGAAGATATATAACATGAGCATTCTGACAGCATATTCAGCAACAATAATATCAGTACAGAGTTAAACATCTATCAGGCTAGGATACATAGTTGCAATTTTATTTTAGCATTCTGACAGCATATTCAGCAACTAGAATATCAGTACAGAGTTAAACATCTATCAGGCTAGGATACATAGTTGCAAATTTTATTTTCCACACCCAAGTTGCCACAAGACAAGTAGCAAAAGTAATGATTCTTCAATACCAGAAGACAGCCATAACGACTACATAAATGTTTAAAGTTTCCAATTCATACCCAGCGATTAAGTTTCTCCCTATCACAATTTAAATAGGAACTAAAAAAAAAATCAAATTTACCTTTATTCGAACTAATGGTAGCTTTGTTTCAGCTTGTCCAGCACTTTTTCGGCGACTACTTTCAATAAGATTTCTCACCTGAAACATGCAACAACAGATTAGAATTGAATGAAGGGAGGAGCAACAGTTTGCAACCATTGTGAAACAAAGCAAGGTTAATAGGTGGGTTAATCTTCAGGAAAAGAGGAGAGAGGCTCTTACAACTTTGTCAAGATGCTCAAGAACAGCATTTTGATCATTCGGATCAATGTCAGTCTGCTCCTTCAGTACAACCTACATTCTATACACTTAGCATGGTAAAACTATATGCAACACAGAAGTAAAATGAAACAGTATTTCTACCTCAGCATATTCAAAAGGTCTAACTGACTTCAAAGGTATTCTAGTTGGACGGTATTGACTTCCCTGAAACATAGCACATTGTGGTCAATCAATGGAACAATCAACAGGAGTTGGGGAAGAAATTTAGTAAAAAATACAAAGATGTCCATATCCAAAAAACCAGAGTTACAAATGCATAACAGAAGCGCAAAATTTCAAAAATCCTAGATGATCAGATTCCTTCTCCCAAAAGTAATAACAAAAAACATCATCAGCACAACCTTAATTTCCAAAAGAAGCACGTGCTTAGCTTTAGCTTCCCCTTCAATGAGAGATGTTGCCACAGAAGATCCTGGTTGTGTTACATGAAAACCCATTCCTGGAACTTCCTAAGGAAGTCAAAAACTACATTAAATAGAGCACATAAAGAACTCTTAAGACTAACATAAAGTATCATTTTCATACGAACCTGTGGGTCAATAAGGCATTCATGCTCATGCCCCCATATGACAAAGTCCAAGAATCTAGGAAGGAAGTGCTCATTTATTGCATTTTTTGGATTTGACTTGATCCTACAAGCACAATAAAATAAGATCATAAATTTCTGAAGCCAAATTGATTAAGACAAACTTGGAAAGTCCCACTCATTGACATGCCCAGACTAATAACAGAATTTTGCAGGTGTACTTTCAAGAAAGAATGTCCACCTGTTTTGATGAAGGACAAAAATGTTGAACCAGTCTGACAAGGAACAACCTTCTCGCGCTTCAGGTCGCATCCATTGCACAGCATGGGGGGTCTGGGGCATCAAATCCACTAAGTACATTGACAGTAAAGTCTGCATATAACTCACAAAAACTAATGAAGAAATCAACTCAGCCATGAGACCAGAAATTACCTGAAACATTCGGTTCAGCCGTTCATCCCGAATATTACCAAGTCCATATAGGGCGACTGACGTTGAACCCTAGAGGTTATGGAAAAGAAAATTTCAAAAGGCAGTAAACCCATCATCTGAACTAGTCATGGATAAGTTACAATGACAGACCTTTCTGATGAGTATGGGATAAAGTGTAATCTGCCCAACACCAGAACCTCCAAGAGCCATTTTACCAAAATAATTTACAAGATTGCATGCAGCAAGGATATCCATTGCAGATAGGTTATCCTGTCACATAACATTACACCAGAAGTCTAAAAGTAAGGTCCTTAAAAAGGTGGCAGACATGTGGAATCAGACAAATGCAAAACACCAGTCAAGGAGATCCACATGTGTACAATTCATATAATCATCTCTAACTTGCAGATCAATCTGATTATCGGAACTCTATAAGGAACTTGGCATTATCACTAAGTAAATGTGGGTTGTTGATAGCAGTTACTACAAGAATCACGATGGAAACTTGAAGTGAAGTTTTCAACAATCAAATCTTATAAAAGTATCATGTCCAAATATGCATGCCCCCATACCCAGAGTATTTTACTTGTACGTATCACAGTTCAGGAGACATTCAGCCTAAAACCTGGTTTTAGAAATTCTAGAATCTGCATACTAAAGATTTTGATGCATACCCAGGTTTTGCAAATACCAGATCCCAAACAACCCATTATTTCTTTCAGAAGAGAGCTAAGGAAATTGTTTCCACAGTAGCTAAACACCAGGCAGGGGCCCTATAATTCAGCGCTTTCCGAATATGCTCGAACCATGGAGAGTAGAGATATGATGAAAGTTAAAGTTTTCCCAATGCATATGAAATTTCATGCTCTTTAATTAGCATGTTGCAGCATTCAAAGAAATTGGGCTTTAGAAAAATGATGTGCGCAAAATGCATCAAGTGGACAGAAAGACGAGTATCTCTTATGGGAGAAGCAGATTCCTCCTAATTTTTGTGTATTTGGAGGATGTGAACCCTAGAAGCACTGCCAAGAAGAACAAGAATAGTAAGCATTCCTTGGGATGATTTTCTAGTTATGTTAGGGACTTAGGGTTATTTCCAGTTATTTTTAATTGCTTTTATTTTATGGAAAAGATGGGGACTATCTAGGCACTATATTGAATGACATGCTCATTTATTTTAAAAGTCACTTAAGTTAGGAATTTTCAATCATTTTTATTTATTGTATGGAGATAATGTCCTTAAGCATTAAATAACGTTCTTTAACAAGCGTGTGGGGCCTTGAGATGCCAACCCGTGGAGTTTTCGACCAGAACATTGATATTCCTAACTTCAATATAAGACTCAACCCCAGGAGTTTATAGACTGGTTAAATAATGTAGAAAGAGTTTTTTATTATAAAGAGGGTCCTGAAAATAAAAAAGTACAAATTATTATCATGAAATTGTAGAAAGTGCCTCAGAATGGTTGGAACAACTTAGGGCTAGAAGGGAGAGAATCGGAAAGCCCAAAATTTCACGGGAAGAAAATGAAAAAAAAAATAAATGAGAAATGCCTACCTGAAAAGGAGTTGCACTCCATTTATCATAGTATGAATACATTCGTCAAGGAGAAAAGTAAACTGATGAATCTTATCAGTTGATGGCTCCAGGTGACGTAGTTGAAAGAGAGGAACAGACCCTAGTACGCTATGTAAGTGGGCTGAGAACTTCTATAAAAGATGGGGTGGTGCTACAGCAGTACTAGACTTTAGACGAGTCAGACAACCTTACAATTAAGGTTGAAGCTCAACAGAGGCATCCATCATCAAGGTGGGATGCTGCCCAGGGTGGTATAGTGGCCATGGAAGCAATTTTAGACAAAAAAGCGGGAATTTGGTGGCTGGACAGACCGCACGGCCTGCTGGTTCATCCAAATAGAAGGATACTGTAAGTGTTGGTGGTATTTCTAGTTGCCCAAATAGCAACTTAATCAAGTGCTTTAAGTGTTTGGGAATCGGACACATCTCTTCTTAATGCCTGAATAGAAAATTTGTGAACCTTTCTGGGAAAGTTTTCGAAGAGGACAACAAGCTATCATTTGATGGAGACCCTGTTTATGATAGGATACCTGAAGAAGAGGAGTCTGAAGTGACGTTTAGTGACCATGGGAAAGCCTTGGTGATCCAGTGCACCATGATTACACCCCGAAGAATATACAATGAATTGAGAAGGGACTTTCTTCCCAAATCCTTGATGATCGAAGTCATTTCATGGATGATCTAATCTTTGATGAGGAACCTATAGATGGAGATGGTGCTCCTGTCTTTGATAGTGATCCCATCTTTGATGATAGTTTGGTGGCTGATATCAAGAATAGCAAGGTGAAAGCAAGGAGGATCAAAGGAGATGACAAAGGATGTTGTTTCTCCTAATGTCTTGCCCAAATATAGGATATCATGTTAAATGCGCCTTGAGGGTTTGGAGATATTTTCCTATGAGCTTTTTGCTAGTGAGTTCAATATAGAAGGTGCACATCGAATGGTTGATTATGTGATTCTTGATTTTGGAGTTCAACTCCAGCCATTGTTTTGTTTTGAGACTAATCACTATGTGCGAGCTGAAGGTAATCATGGGGGTAACACAACATTAATCTTAAGCTGCTTCAAAGTCGCAGTAGGGTTGCTCTGACGTGTTCAGGACGAAGTATGTCGTAATTGTGCAATGGAAGTATGGCAATTCCATATGGGCCCAAAGCATGGTTGATCTAATGTCCATTGGGGTGCAGTAACATTGCATGCCTTGATCTCAAGTCTCGTTAATGCACGAGATTGGGTGATGCATACAAAAAGTACCCAACATGCAAATATACCAAGTCAAATGACCGCAAACTTTGACCATTCAAGATTTTGAAGAAGATGGGCAACAACATTTACAATGTCACTTTGCCCAACATATGGGGACTATCATTGACATTGCTAATTTGTCCAAGCATCGTTGGCCGCAGAGAGATGAATATGAAGGTTCTAAGTTGAGGGCGAGCTCCTCAAGCTGGGTAGAATGATGATGCGCAAAGTGTACCAAGTGAACAGAATGACAAGTATCTTCTATGGGAGCAGCAGCTTCCTCTAATTCTCATGTATATTTGGAGGATATGAACCCTAGGACGACTATCAAGAAGATCAAGCACTGCTTGGGATGATTCTCTAGCTATTTAGGGTTATTTTCAATTTGCTTTCATTTTCTGGACTGGTTAGGGACTTTTAGGCTTTTTATTAATGTCAAGGTCATTTATTTTAAAAGTCACTTCAGTTAGAACTTTTGGATCATTTATTTATTGTACGGACATCTATAGATATTTAATGTCCTTAAATATTTGGTCCAAGAAGGGTGAGGACCTTAAACTTTCCCTTAGCCTGTTCCAAGTCCAGGTAAACTTTCCCTTCCCTTCCCTTAGAATGTTCCAAGCTTGGTCCAAGGTGGGTTGTGTTAGGTACGCAGCCAACGTAAACTTTGTCTAAACTTTTCATGAATCTTGAATCTACGTTATCTGCTGCTAATTTCCTTGAACAATGAATATCATTATTTAAGCATTCATATTCTTTTTTTTTTTTAGAAAAGAGAAAGAAAGCTCCACGCTGTTCAAAGCTGAGATAGGGGTTTAAGGAAGAAACCCTAGTTTTCTCTATTTGTTGCATGTGCTTGGTCTAAATTATTGATGATTTTTTGTTCTTCTTCAAATTTCCTACAAAAAAACAAATGTAAAAATCAAATGATCTCACTATCCTATGATGCTCAAATTGAATCATGATGCCAATTATATATAGACATCTGGTTTTGGAAGATATGATTGATAGGCTGCATGCAGCTACTAAAACATAAAAGGTGCGGTTTGTATAGAGCCTAGGCTCTAAACAATCAAATTAGAGCCTACCTTCAAATAGTGTCAAGAAAAATGGTTTCAATATTGAAAATCTTTTTGATAGCCTTGAAGTATATTTTCATCTTTATTTATAAAGTTTAAAGCTTAAAAAATAGTGTAAATCGAAAGATATATGAAAACTTCAAAATCTTGAAAATTGACGGTCCAAAAACGCATTACAAAATACGCTATTTCCAAAACTTGAAATCCATTTTTTTCTCATGTCCATGCATCTTGATGTCGAGATGATGAATTTGATGATATCTGGGCACCAAAACAACCTCTTCTAGTAAAATTTTTGAGGTCGCCTCGAATTTGATTGTTTAGAGCCTCGGCTCTACATAAAGTTTTCCCAAACATAAATTACTCTCCTTGTACTCAAGAATAATCCAGCCCAAAGCACCAAAAACCTTTACAAAGGCAAAGGGCGAAATTCAATAAGCAAACAAAATAGGTCCATAGAAAAAGAAGTCCCTTCTCACGGTATTACAATGTAAAGGACATCATCTGCCAATATTGGCATAAGTGACTATTAAGACATGGACCTCCACCAATATTTGATAATAGCATCTTCAAGACAAAAACTTAAATAAGAAAAGGAACACAAGAATCTCAATCAACTCAAAGGGCCAAGTTAGACGCAATGTTCAAAAATTTGCCCACCCAGCCTCTTAGGCAGCCAAAAGGCCGAAACACCAAACCACTGCCTAGGCAGGCCTCTTAGGCGCCATGTGTCTAGGCGCCCACTTACGCGGCAAGGGCGTCGCCTAGGCACTCGACCCAAAGCGGGCGCCTCGACACACATTGGCCGGGGGTGGAAAAATGCCTTGGGCCAAGAGCAATTTTGGGATTCCCCCTTCTAAAAGGGGGGCAGGGGAGGGTTTTGAGGAGCATTCTTGCTCCCCGAAACCTCTCTTGTGTGATTTAGAGAGAGAAAATCTCAAAACAACAACGATTTGCCATTTTTTTAGAGATAAAAAAAAATTTCAACTTTTTTTATTTCTTACGAAATCAAAAGAAATACTTTGTGATATTGTGTGGAGCTTGGATTGGTTGTATAGGACGACTTTTGGCGACCAAATATCATCAGTTTAGGCCGATATAGGTTTCATTTTGGAAAGGTAAGTGCATTACAATATAGAATTACGCTTCGATTTTTTTTGTTGGTTGGTATAATGTGTTATGACTTGAATCATTTGATATTCTTTTACTATTGTCTTTTTATTTGTGATATTTTTGCATGTTTGTAGTTGATAACTTAAAATATTTTGTGAATATTCCCTGGTTTGGACTTCGGACCTATATTGAATTAATTTAAAAAGCTTAATGCAATGTTTTTTTTGTCTTTCTTTATTTTTTTTACATGTTTGTA